TAAGATAACTTTCAATCTTCGGACTGACTGTAATAAAGTTTCTACTATGACATTATATAATAAAAAAAAAAAAAAAAGTTTCACTAAAATTCTATCATAATAAGAATCACTTAAAAATTTGTTTACAAAATTAGTTAAAAATGTTTTATTAAATTGTTTAATATCATCATTTTTTTTTAAAGCATCTAGACCATGATGCTCAATATAAAAATATTGTTCTTCTTTGGTTAAATGTTTTTCAATAATATCTTTTATATTTGTTGTCATTAAACGAAAATAGGTTTGGTATTTTTTTAAATTACCAGATTTTTTTATAGCATCACCTAATATTTTCATTTTTAAATAATATTCTTCTTTATTTGACATTTTGTTTATTTATTTAATAATTGATACGATATTTATAAAAACAAAATATTTCGTTATTTATTTATATAAAAAACAGTATAAATATAAAAATAAAAACAAAAACATTTAGATAAATATAAATAAAATTAATTAATTAAAAGATAGATTATCTATAATCGAATGATCTACATAATTTTCGATGTCAGATTCTTGTTCAATAATTGGTTCAACTAAATTAGAAACTTCATAAATGTTTTTTGTTAATAAATTCAAAGTTTCGTTATCTTCTAAAGATAACATATTATAGTTATATGTTTCTTCATTAAAATTATTAACTAAATTATATACTTCTCGAGATAATCTATTAATTTTCTCTTGTTTGTATAATTCTTGAGCAATTTGAAAACTTTGACCAAAAAATAAAGAATAAAAAGAGAGTTGATTAATCAACTCCTCGTTGGTTTTGAAAGTTTTTAACATTTCTTCTTGTAATTCATCGATAATTTTTACAGAAGTTTCTTCAATTGATTTAGTTTTTTCTTCAAAGTCAATATTATTATTAACAATTTTTCGTTCCAAATTATCAATTTGTTCTTTAAGACATTTGTTTTTTTGTTTTACTTCTTCATAAATTTCTTGATTAATAAATTGTTTATCATTAATTTTTTATTCCAAGTCTTTAATTTGTTCTTTAAGACATTTGTTTTCTTGTTTTACTTCTTCATAAATTTCTTGATCGATAAAACGTTTAGACATTTTTTTATTATATTTAATTTGTTGTGTTTGTGTTGTTTCGTTAATAAATCAAAAATTAAGTTTGTTCATACATCTACTTAGCTTAAAGTATTTATTATTTAAAGGTTTTTATTTTTATTTTAGAATCCATATTTAGAATTTAAAATATCTTGTTTTCTGTAATTTGTTTAATTAATAAAGTTTTTCCGTAAAACAATTTTATAAAAAAGGTAAAAAAAATTTAAAAAAATTTTAAAAAAATGAATTACGAACAAGAATTTACCCCTGAAGAAATTAAAGAATTCGAAAATGAGATTATGTACAAAAAATCTGGCTCAATTAAATCAATATCAGAACTCTTTTTTAGGAATTTTTTGCGAAGCATGTAAACAAGAACAAGTAATGATCATTCAAAAAAATATACGTGAAGTATACTTTTCACGAATGAAAGAATATTTCGATTATTATAATTTTGTAAATAAATCTGAGAAGGCTCAAAAATATTATTGAAAATTAGAAGAATTACGTGATTGTGAATTGGGAAGTTTTATATATTTATTAATATTACTTAAAGAACAAATTGAAGATAATTATTTTTATATATTAAATTAAAATGTATATTAGCTGCATATTTATTTATAAATAATTATTAAATTTAACCAATAAATATTAAATACTATGATTTTACCAAATTAAGAAATATGGCTTTTACTATGAAAATACTTTAAATGGTAAAGTGGCTGCATATATTAAATTCATTGTAGAATGAATTACACTTAAATGATAAAGTGACTTGCATATATAAAAGTTCATTATAGAATGAATTATAATATCGATCGGTGTTTATAAAATGCAAGTAATTTTATCGTTCAAATAACCAATTCTTACAATGAATTTTTTAAAAATCATAAAATTTTTTTGCATCTTTCTTATTGTATCAATTATTTTTCTCTTTAATCTTTATTTATATTTTTTTATTGACAAAGAATGATTGCTGAAATATAAAAATAAGCCTTTTAAAATGTTTCATCCAGAAAAAAGTCAATAAACAAACAAAAAAACAACAAACAAACCCAAAATTTAAACACTTTTTAAAAAAAACAACAAAAAATATTTTCAAAATTCTTTTTTATTATCACTTTCTTGGTTCTTTTGGGACTATTTCTCACAAATCTTTTTGCTGGTGAATATCAAATTGATATTTACCAAATTATAATTAAAACAATTTATTCAAACACATTTTTTTGGATTTTTATAGTTATTATTAATATAATAATAACTATTATTATAAACACATTATTTTAATTATCATTTTGGAATACTGTGTATGAACAATATCCAGAAAGGTTTATTTCATAATCCTTTTACTTTATTTATCTGACACTTGATAATTATAAAGAAAACATAGAAGATAATCACAATCTTCAAAAAATTTACGTCGTTCAAGAAAAATCTTTGAACAAAACTCAAAAAAAACCTCAAATGTCTTTAAAAACTTTGCAAGCCAAGCTCTGCTCTCGTGTAAAAGAAGAAAATTGAAAATTGATATTGGATATGAATATATGATTAAAAATTATTTAGATTAAATTTAAATTTAATATAGAAATGTTTTAAGTTAGTTTTAACTGATGGATATGCTCCAATATTTGGTTGTAATAGTTTTTTACAAATAATTCTTATTATAAATAATATTTTAAATTATTTAAAGTAACTATATGATTATGAATCGGTGCCGATTCATAATTATATAGTTACTTTAAATAATTAAATGTTAATTTAAATATTTAACCAGTAAAATATCTAAATTAATTTGTGTTATTTATAATAAAAATATTTGTAACAAATTGTATGAACCGTAAAGTTGAATATATATCTTTTAAATTAAACTATTTTTTATTATATGATAAGATTAAAATATATATATATTATTTATTTCTTAATTTATAAGTAATTAAATAAAACTATTCGTTGATATCATTTATATTATAAATAATTAAATAAAACTAATCGTTGATATCGTTTATAATATTTGCTAAATGATTTGATAAAATAAACATACCAAATGACTCGATTTTTTTGATTTGTTTTAACATTTTTTTTCGAAAAAGTGTTTTGGTTTTATCATTTTCTTTTTTCCTTTTTATACAATGATGATTAAAACTGTGAAAAAAATTTGTGTCAAAATATTCTTTTCTAACATGTTCTTCCCACTATTTGAAAAATTTACAATTTCTTTTATTACATATTAGAAATAATTTATTATAATTATCATTATCTTTTTTAACTTTTAATAATCTTGCGGATATTTCACAATCGTATAAAACATTATGAAAATAATTTGTTCTATCAAATCCATTTTTATAATATGCACAAAAAATCGCATCTTCTTTTAATTTACAATCTTCGTAAATTTCTGAATATATATTAAATTTATTATAATATTTCAGCAATAGTTTAACATTTAAATACAAGTATTTATTAATTAAAGCGAAATCTTCAATGTTAAAAGTTTCTTTTAAGATTAAAACATTTAATTTAGGTGTATTGAAAACTTCTTGAGTAGCTATATTCGTTAAATGATTAAATTTTCATTTATTTATAAAAAAAAATTCTAGATATTAGTGTTTAAATAAGGTATAAAGTAACCAATATAAAAATAATTTTTGAGTAGATGTCCAAATAGGGTATAAAGTAACCAACATAAAAAAATATATTTTTTTTTATTGACTATATATATATTTTTTAATGATTATTAATAACATTATAAAAAAAATAAATAAATAAAATTAAAAATAAAATAAAAATAAAATAAAATATTATTAATTGTATCATAATATTGTCTTTTTTTTCTCATTCTTTAATTTCATCTCTTTGTTTTTCTTTTTTGTTTCTTTTTTTTTCTTTATATCTTTTGAAATCTTTATAAAAATAAGGTTTGTTTATTTTCATTATATTCCACCTATCCTTTAATTAATTTAAATAATCCGTTATGTAAATTTAAATCATTATAATAATAAAATTGTCTTTTAGATTTCGAATATTTTTATAAAATTTTAACGTATCTTAACTTAAATCTTTGTTAATTAATAATAATAATTTTTTTTCAATTCCTTTTTCAAAACTATATTTGGAATAAATAGTTTAATTTTATAATCACCTTCACATTTAATAATATAATTTATATTATCTAAAAAATTTGGAAAATAATTAACTAAAACTAAACATTCTAAAAATACAAAATTAATTTTTTTATATTTGTTAAAAAATTTTGATGTAATTTTTTGTCTATATAATAATTGAGGGAACACTTTTTTTTAAATGATTTCTTATTTTATTATTATATGTTCCAAAATATCCACAAAATTTTTTAAACATATTAACTTCTAAATTTGTTTTTCCAGATCCTGTTTTCCCATAACAATAAATAAATAGTGGTTTTTTTGTAAAATAATATTGACAAATATTTGCCAACCAAATTGTTTCAAATACAATTTTAAAGTTTCTAGAAATTAGACGTAGTTTAATTTGTTCTTTGAAGTTTAACATTTTAAAAATATTAATATTCATTTCAAGAGGAAATTGTTCCATTTTTTGTTAGTAATAAACAATAATAACGATTGATATTTATATATTTTACTAACAATATTTTAAAGTATTTAATATAAAAAATTTGATATTAACTAATATAGTATAAAATAAATAATATAAATAATTTATAATATCGTCCAAATATAATATTAAGCAATTAAAAAAAATAAAAAATAACAATTATAATATTTTCTTTTTTTCATATTACTATTTAAATTTTCTTCTTCATTTTCCTTCTCAAATTCATTTCTAGTTCTTTTTGTTGTTGAAGATTCAGCTTCAATTAAATTTAATTCATTCAATAAATCTAATATATTTTCTTCAATATTAATTGCTGTTTCTAAAATATTGTTTTGATTTTGTTGTTCTAATTCATAATATTTGAACATTTTCTGACAACAAGGATAATCATTAAGATATGATTTCATATAATTAGAAAATTTTTGTCTCCAATAGATATTATTATCGAGAATAATATGCTCTCCTTCGATACCTTTTGTCATTTTTTTACCCTTTTCAATAGTTGCTTCAATACCAGTTTTATCAACTTTATATTTGATATCCCAAATTATTGAGCGAAAATTCTCTTCTAAGCCTTTGTGGAAAATGATTTCTGTTGTTTGTTTTTCAATATCATCGTCCCATTGTCCTTTAAATTCAATAATATAATCTAAACATCATGCAAATTGGCCCCAATCTCTAAAAAAAATAATAATTTGAATTTAGTATAATAATTAGTTTAATTTAATTGACAAATTTTAAACGAAAATACCTTTGTGTTGAATCTTCATTATCTCGACTTTTTCTAAAGTTATAGGATTTTTCGGGATGCTTTCTCGCAGTAAGAAATATATATTTTGCTAAAAATTGTTCAAAACCTTTAAATTTTTGTTCTATAGGATATTCTGTATTGTTAAATAAATTTACGGTATCATCCCAGCTGATTTTTGTATAGAATTCATCTAAAAAACTACTTCTTGTCCATTATATCCTGTAAATATAAAAAAAAATAAATAAATAAATAAATAAAAACTATATAATATTATTTACAAAATTACTGACCATTCCACTAATTATTTTTTTGTTTTTTAGGTTTTGAATATAATTTATCTTCTTCAAATAATACTTGCACAAGACCTGATTTCTTGCTACCACCTGGTCCATAAAGATAAAAAACCATTGGTTGCCAAAATCTAGCACCTTTATCTTTCTTTTTTTCTTGTTGTAGATCATTATAAATTTTTGTCATTGTTTCATAATTTTTACAATATGGTATTCTATCCTTATTTGCTTTAAAAATTTCGAGTAGTGTCATATTATCTAACAACATATTATTGCTTTCAATTTCACCTTCAAATTCACCAGTTTTTAATTTGTTTATATCTTTTTTATTTTTTTTAAAGCCTTCTAAATCTTGATATTCTTCAAATTAA